GGGCAGATCTGGATGGCGGTGTTGAATGTGACAGTGTCGAGCGCACTGGGTATGCGATGTGTACCAGAGCAATATCGGTACCAAGGAGATTCCGGTATTTCAGATACCAACAAGTTGTAGCCTTTTATTTTATTTCAAGTGAATTTTGTAATGTGGTATTACACCACCATAGGTTCGGCTCTGGTGGCTACAGTTTCAAGCTCAGAGTGAAAGTCACCTCTGCTACTTGTTTTAGACGTATAGTCTCTAAGAACACATAAAGACCAAGGATAGTGACACTCATACATTTACAAGTACAAGGTTTAGTCTGTGTTTCAAGTTTTATTAAAGTCATGATTACCCAATGTGATACAGGAGGGCCAGGGAGCAGTGGTAGAGGGGAAATATATAAGCCCTAGCATATTAAGGCGTGGTTCCCTGTAGACTAGGGAGGGTTGCTACAGGTTAATTGGAGCACCTGTAGTCAATTAAGGCCCTGTCAGGAACCTAATAAAACCCCCTGCTTCAGAAAGTCAGGGAAAGAGGAGGAAGGAGAGAAGACTGGAGTTTGGAGGTGTGTTGTGAGAGCTGAAAGACCAGAGAACTGAAGTAAGGGAGACCCTGCCCTCGCAGGGCAGGGAGATTCCCTCCCCCAGCGTCTAAGGACCAAGGATAACCCCACCCAAGGAGGAAGAGGGTAAGAAACCCGCAGGGGTTGAGAGGGGCTGGGACTCAGAGGGAGGAGCAAACCCACCCCCCACCACCACCTTCCCAGGCCACTAGCAGGGCCTTCGGCACCCAAGAGCAGGGGCAAAGGGTAGCATCTTAGCCCCTACCCCAGAAAAGTTCAGGACCCACCATACGAAATCGGCCATCTTGTCACACCAAGCATATAGAAATCCTATAAAGACCCATGCACAAGTTACATATACATCCTTAATGATATTCTTAAACTCTGATGGCTGCCTTGCCAATTGATCATCAGTAGAGGGATAGTTCCTGCTGGAGTTTTCCCATAAGGAACTCAACTTGCCCAATCTGGGCACCCTCTTTTTATAATGTGATTCCAACTATACCTCATTAACATTTATGGATATAATGCACCCTGTAATTAGGGTGCACTAATGCACTAGGATGCACCCTGTGATTGGGGTGCACCCTGTGATTAGGGGAAAATGTGACTACCAGGTATCTTGTAAGCAAAAAACTTCTCTTATTATTAATTTTTTGCAATACCACCCATACGCACATCTTTCCCCATAATCTTGTACCATTGGGTCATTCTTTAGTCACTTATTTATGTCAAGCATTTCTTAAGCCTATGGCCTACTATGGCTAAGCTAAAATCCTACGGGCCTCAGCCTGTACGCATTGTGTTTCAGCCCTACTTATTTAGATACCTAATATATACTTATCCCTTCTGGCTACCAATCAGTCTTATATTTCTATAATCCTACAATTTAAATCTATTGAGAATACAATGATTATATATGACATAGCATGTTAATCATATCACACAATAAATGAATGATAAAATTAACTAATTGGCTATAAAGTCCTTCTGAAAACAAAATTCTTATGGTACCACAGGGAGACATTAGCAGTAGTACCACTATAGTCGAAGTGGTTATCAGTGCCAATGGGGTTCTGTGCTCTGCTGAGGGACTGGTAAATTGTTGTGGTGCCAATCTGCTTGGTGCTGCATGTCTGAGTGGCTCAGTTGGTACTGGCATGGAGGAGCTAGGCTTATCTCTGCCACTCCTTTCTGAGCCCACCCTCTTAGGGTTCTTGGCTTTAACGGTACCAGCGATACCAGAGGATCCCACCAACTCAAAGGTGTTCAACCTTGCTCTGGCCAGTACCAATGTCATCAAGCATGCTGGGGATCTTTTCTTTTTAGCAGGTTCCCTGGTAGAAGAGGTTGTTGTCCTCTTCATGGTGGCCTTTTGCGAGGACTGCAGCAGTTTCCTCTGTGAGGGAAGCAGGAAATGTTTCTCTGAACCTGCCATTGAGGTCAATGGGGACCAGTGCTCAGAGGGAGTCTCTGACCCCGGATTGGAAGCTGGACACAGTGAGCTTTCCATCATGGTAAATTTTAACTTGAACACTGACTCTTCTGCTGCATACCTTGAAGTTGAGGCAATGCATATACTTTTGTGGTATGCGTGCCTCTCCTAGACAGCGGATGCACCAAGAGCGCCCATTGCTGATGGGGATAGTCTCCCGGCAAGAGAGAGACTATATGAATTTGGAGTATCTGGGCATGTCCCTCTTTCCTGCTATCTTTCCCTAACGGGAAGGAGCATTGTGGAAAAAACTACACTACTCTACAGATAACAGATTCTTAGCAGAAAAAAAATTTTTTTTTTAAACAAGAAATAAATAAATGAGGGAAGAGCATAGTTCTAACTATCACTACAACAATAACAACACAACACTAAATATGCTCTGCTGAGAGCTCTGTCTCAGGCCAAGGGCAATAGAGAAAGAAGGAACTGAAGGCAGTTTGGTCACACAGCGCTATATAGCCACAAAAAGCGGCACGAAATGCAGCATGTGTGGCCCAAATGGGCACTGCTACCAAAACTCTCTGATCACAGGCACAGGAATGTACACTCCCCTAAAGCAGAGCACCCATATGGGATACTACTTGAAGAAGAAGCATTTATCTTTTGTAAAAAAAAGTCTATTTGAAAATAAACTACTGACACTTGCCTCCTTCCTAGAAAGTTTTAGGGGCTAGTTTTCTACTTCTTTCAGTAGTGTTTTAAGTTTATTATTAAAAAAATTATTAAGTATTACCCATAATAGCTGTAGTAAGTGTTACAATATGGGTAGCATTCGGCATATAGTTTAATTTTACTTTATTGTCTTCTCATTTTGGCCAGATCTACTAACTTACTATCTACTTAGACCCAGATTTAAGGTGCCTAAATACCTTTAAAAATATGGTCCTTGCTGATGCCTTCTCTCTGTAATGCCCCAGAATGCATTTGTAATATAGAGAGAAGGGTAGCATAAAATCCCTCCTTGGCAGCTGTACTGAATCGCTTTACCTGTAAGGGGTTAAGTAGCTAAAATAGCCTAGTTGGCACCTGACCAGAAGAAACCATGAGGAAAGAAGATACTTTCAAATCTGGGGGGGAAAGATTTGTTTGTGGCTCTTTTTGTTTGTTTCCTCTCCGGACGGGGGGAGAGACCAAGCAGGTACAACATCTCCTGAAAATACACCTGGAATGATATACCTAAAATTACAGAAATTGTAAGTAGGGCAAGGACATGCGTTAGGTTATCTTTTGTTTTGCCTTGTGAATTTTCCTATGCTACAGAGGTAGTTTTATTCCTGTTTTTGTAACTTGTGAAGCTGAGCCCAGTGGGGAATCCTCCATGTTTTAAATCTTTTTATTACCCTGTAAAGTTACCTTCCATCCTGATTTTGCAGGTGTGATTTTTATTTTTTTTCTTTCATAGAATCATAGAATATAAGGGTTGGAAGGGACCCCAGAAGGTCATCTAGTCCAACCCCCTGCTCGAAGCAGGACCAATTCCCAGTTTATTCTTTCTAAATAAAGTTTTTCTTTTAAGAACCGGATTGACTTTCAGTGTCCTGAAGACACAGAGTCTGATCTGTGCTCACATTGCTAACCAATTGGTTGGTATATTATTCTTAAGCATCCCCAAGAAAGGGGGGTGAAGGGGCTTGAGGGAATATTTTGGGGGGATAGGGATTCCAAGTGACCCTTCCCTGAATTTTTGTGTAAATCATTTGGTGGTGGCAGCAATACTGTCCAAGGACAAGGAAAGGAATTTGTGCCTTGGGGAAGTTTTAACCTAAGCTGGTAGAATATAAGATTAGGGGGTCTTTCATGCGGGTCCCCATATCTATACCCCAGAGTTCAGAGTGGGGGGAATCCTGACAGCATTATATTGGAGGGGAGAGAGAGAGTGGTAGTATTTATTTACATGAGACAGCACATAAAACATCAAAACCACTCAATTAAAATGTACCACTTGCTATTATTTCATTCACTGATATAGAAAAAATAAGTGGTTTGACCATATAAGCCCTTCAAACTGTGTTTAGCACAGATTACAAACATTCTGCCACTTATTTGAAGCTTACCTACCGTAAGTCATACTTTGGCAGGACTTCTTTGAAAGCAAAGCTAATGGAGCTTACACACAGCTTACCCATTTTATTGGGTTTATGAACATTTTATGGATACCTTATCTATCCTTATAAGACAACAAGTATATATATTTCTATCATTACCTTTGAAATGCCTCATGTCCTGGATTCATCTGAAGATGTGATCAATGACATTTGCACAATGTCAATGGACTGAGTTATTCTTCCAGTACATGACACTTACCTTACTGCTGAAAGTAACATTATTGCTTCAATTTGAGACTTTTTAAAATATTTACTTTGACTAATTGCCATGTGGTGTTTTAGCTCTAGCTTTGTTATACTGTTTCAGTACATATGTACAAAAAGCTCTTTGGTTGGATTCTTCTTTGAATTTACTAATAAATATGCAAAACACAAAAAATATTTTATGAGCTAAAGACAAAAGATTCCATTAAAATAGAAATGAACATCATTTAGGGCTAAATTATGGAATCTAGCCATAACTCTAAGCCAGAAGTAGTGCAGACCTAACAGTCACACAGACCTAAAAGTATACTACATGCTTGTCTGGATGTGCCCCCTCCCTATGGCCAGCCATCTTTGTAGACCAGTGTGGAGTGGTATATGACCAGGGCCTACCACTTGCCTGCTCTCTTTTGGGCAATTTGTGCTTCCACCCTTAGGGTTGCATAGAAGAAGCAGATTGTTCATAGCCTATTTGCAGGTGCACAAGGAGGTAAAAAGACATCTTGGGACTTCTCTCCGCGAACATATGGGTTAGGAGCAAAGACATTCTGGGCTCTGTTGGTACTGCATAAATTGCTTTCAGTAAGTAATTAGCAAAAAATAATATTGTTGCCAATAAAATATTAATTAAATAACTACTAACCAGCACTCGTCCTCCAAAGATGTAACCCTTATTTCCCAGCACAGCACATGTATGAGCTGCTCGAGGCTGAGGTGGAACTCCACCCTGAAAGTGCCAATGCAAGATTTTTTAGAACATTAACCTATACAGTGTCCGTAAATGTCTAACTGCAAGTCAATAAAACATGAAATGCAATGGTAAGGTTGAAATGTACCCCATATCTTCCAATATGAAGGCAAAATTGCAAACGTGCAAAACAATTTGTGGGAACACCCAAAACTCCCAAGGCATTAGATGACACATTTTATAGTACAGTTCAGCCTTAACTAAATTGCCATAAATTTTGGTGTTCAGTTTATTCTCTCAGCACCTGATTTACCAATGCTTTATTCCAGTTTTACACCAGTGATACTCCACTGATTTCTAGAGTTTCATCAGTGTAAAACTACAGTAATACTGGTGGAAAAGTCCTCTAGGGCCTGTTTTTCAGAGATGCAAAGTACCACATGTGGTCACCTCTGGGGGTGGGGGGAAAGCAGCAGCACTTAAAATGCAGGAATTTTGCAGAGGGTTTAACAAAACTTTGACTACTCAAACCTATGGAGTTGGTTCATGATCAGGATTTATGGTAACTCCTGGGGATAAATTTTAGACAGTAGGTTCGCCTTCTTATGCTTAAAGATCTTGTATGTTGCGAAGGTTATTTGTTTGAAGACAAAAATATCCCCATGATGTAATATTGAGAAATAATAATGAATACCTAGCTCTTATATAATATGCTTCATTCATAAATTTCACTGCTTTACAAAAATCAGACTCTTAAACTTTGTATGTAATAGCCAATCACCTGATGCCAGCGGGAGTTTTCCCTATGTAAAAAAAAAAAAATAGGGATTGCAACACTGGGGCCTTAGCTTTTAATGGAACTTTTCACTTAAGAATTTTATAGAATCATAGGAAGTCACATAAAAGAAACATGAAAGTGTCAAACAATCTTATTATGTTATAATTCTTCCACTGAGCTCTTAATGGAGTCTGTGTAATCTTACCAGAATTTTATGAGGCTCTTCATTATGCTATAATATTAATATATAAAAATGTTCACATTACAGTTTTATTGAGAGCTCACTGAGAATATATGCCATCATTGGAACAATATTAATATAAAAGAATTTCTTACATGCAAGACATCAGTTACTGCTCCTGTTCACACTTAAAATAAATGTTAGTCTTTCTCAGCATTAAACCCTTGATGCAACGGAGTTATGAAACACAGCAACTGAATCTACACAGTATTCATTCAAGTGTATATATCTCTTCAATATTAAACCATTTTTTTTCACAAATATCAAAAGGCTGAACAGCTACTCTAATGACTAGAGACCCAATTTTGCAATTGGATCTGCATGGATGGAACCTGTGCCTGCTGGATACCCCACTGAAGTCAGTGGAATGCAACATGAGTGCAGGAGTCCATTAACATGCATCTGATTGCAAGATCATAGGAATGGCCATAATGGATCATGCTTGTGGTCCATCTTGTCCAGCATCCTGTTTCGAACACCAGAGGACTCAGAGGAAAATGTAGGTAGGTAGATACGTGGTGATCCTAATCCTTGAAAGTTAGATTGGCTTAAACCCTCATTTCAGGGTTCATCTCCCTTCCAATACTCTTTTTGTCAGTATTAACTACTTTAACTCTGGATATTCTTGTTATCCAGCCCCTCTTTAAATTTTACTATGTTCTTGGCCTCAACAACATCCAGTAGCAATTACTTCCAGTCTAATTACATCTTTTGTTGAAAACCGGCTTTGAATTTGCCACTTTTTAGTTTCATTTAATGTTCCCTTACTCTTATGTTATGAGATAGGGAGAACATAAAAATGCACTCATGTTATGAGCCTGAGAAATGCCACATGTTCAAAATAGTTCTCCCTGACATCAGTCTCTAAAGTACAGTTATTATTCAATATGTGGTGGAGTTACAAAAAAGTACAGAATGATTAAAGATTTAAAAAATACTCACTCTAATTGTTGGTTGAAACCAAGTTTGTGTGTTTGTATCAAAAGCATGAACATCGTTATGCCATCCCCAAAATATCTGCCCTTCCTAAAAAGAAGAGTGAAATATCTAAAATTATATTTTTTTCATTTACTTAATCTCATAATCCTTTTGTTTCATCAAAAGGGTTTAGGCATAAAAGTGACAGACAAATTATTTTCTGTTTTTAATCAGAGTAAGTATAGGCATGCACTAATTTTTATTTTTAAAATACACATGGGGTAACATTTACAAAAGTGACAAAACATGTAGGTGCCTAAATCTCATTGAATGTCAATGGGATTTAGGCCCCCTAGTGCCAAAGGCACTTTTAAGAATGGCCATACTGGGTCAGACTAAAGGTCCATCTAGCCCAGTATCCTGTCTTCTGACAGTCACCAATGCCAGGTGCTTCAGAGGGAACGAACATAACAGATCATCATCGACTGATCCATCCCCAGTCGGCCATTCCCAGCTTCTGGCAAACAGAGGCTAGGGACACCATACCTGCCCATCCTGAATAATAACCATTGATGGACCTATCCTCCATGAATTTATCTAGTTCTTTTTTGAACCCTGTTATAGTTTTGGCCTTCACAACATCTGGCAAAGAGTTCCACAGGTTGACTGTGCATTGTGTGAAGAAATACTTCCTCTTGTTTGTTTTAAACCTGCTGCCTATTAGTTTCATTTGGTGACCCCTAGGGAGTAAATAACACTTCCTTATTTACTTTCTACACATCAGTCATGATTTTATAGACCTCTATTGTATCCCCACTTAGTTGTCTCTTTTTCAAGCTGAAAAGTCCCAGTCTTATTATTCTCTCTTTATATGGAAGCTATTCCATACCCCTAATCATTTTTGTTGCCCTTTTCTGAATCTTTTCTGAATCTTTTTGAGAATGGGATGTAGGTTCCTAAATCATTTGGGCACTTTAGAAAATATTGCCTTCAAATGTTTAGTAGGATATGCTTTGTATAAGCAAAAGTTTTTATTCATTAGGAAGACATTTTTCTTATAGATTAATACTAACATTTGATATAAGGGATCTGTTCTCTCCTTGATGTATCTATCTCTCGTTAATGCCAACAACAGTTGAACATGCATAATGATTAAACAGACTTCTATATCATTTTCTAATTATGAATACTGTAACCAGAGCCATCCCTTGGGTATGGTGAATCGAGATGACCGCCCTGGGCCCCGTGCTTTGGGAGGCCCTGTGCTTCGATAAAATCATGAAGAGGCGGGCACGGAGGTAAGGCAGGAGGCAGGCGGCAGGCAAGCAAGGTGAGGAGGTGAACGGGGAAGCGAGTGGCAGGCGGACGGCAAGGAAGAGAGCGGTGGGCGGGCAGTGAGGAGGCAAGCGGCGGCCACTGGCAGCCCCCCTACCAAAACCTCCCCCTTCCCCCAGCGCCTCCTGCCTGCCGGTGGGCCCTGCCAATCAGCGCCTCCCCCCTCCCCTCAGTGCCTACTGAAGCTCAGATGTTTCATGGCATCAGGAGGCGCTCGGGGGGAGGGGAGAGGAGCAAGGGCGCAGCGTGTTCAGGGGAGGGGGCGGAACTGGGTGAGGAAGAGGCGGGGTGGGAGTGGAGCAGGGGTGGGAAGAAGTAGGGTGGGGGCGGAGCCTTGGGGGAAGGGGTGGAGTGGGGGCAGCACCTGGGTGGAGCCGGGGGGAGCACCCCCCAGCAGATTAGAACCTCGGCACCTATGACCCAGTCCCCAAACCCCCCCCTTGGGACAGTCCTGATTGTAACAATTCACTATGGGAAACTAAGTAGTACCTTGTTCCAGGCATCTTATGGTAAAGGTATTTACTCTGGATAATAAATTAAGGGAAGGTATTTGTGGACAGATAAAGCTGTGAGGCTATAAGTTCCTGGCCATTACTTCAAAGAGCTCAATACTATAATTTTTTGTAAGTGGAAGCATCTAATTGGAATAGAGCTATTTCACTTTTTCTACTTTAACAGCACTTTGCTCTTACTTTATCTAGGAGAGTTCAGCCTTGGGTACTCACAATAAATTATAAATTGAAATCACAACTGATTTTTCAAGATTCAATTCTGTATTACTGTTGATGCAATCTAATAGAAACAAACTAAAGAAAAAACAGTCTAATATCAAATGGCTGCAGTACAACATGATTATTTTACACGTCTGCTGAGATTATTGTAATCTGTAGATGTAGTATATGGTAAATCTAGTTTGAATTTATGAGCACAAAACAACAAAAATTAGAACAGTTTTCAAAAAGTGAGATACTACTTTTTAATCATCATTAATCGTCTTAATTAACTAGCCTCTTACAGTCTGTATGGCAACTTCCACCTTCTCTGTGTTACGAATTACACCTGGTAGGACACGCATACAACTGCTGCGAATTATACCTTGTAGGACACACATACAAATGCTACGAATTACACCTGATAGGACACGCACACAACTGCTGCGAATTATACCTTGTAGGACACGCACACAAATGCTACGAATTACACCTGATAGGACACACACATCAATGCTGCGAATTATACCTGATAGGTCACGCACAGTTCGAATCTAGGCTGAGACAGAAACAAAGTCCACAACTGCAGAGTTCCCAAAAGACACTAAGTTTATTACGCTCGAGCGTGGTGCCCCCCTGCTAGCCGGGGGGGGACCCTGAATACAGATTATACAAAGGTTATATACTTTTTAGCAAAGCATGTTGCCCTCGTGCATCGGAAACCTTAGCCAATAAACAAACCCTTGTCTTATCTACCACCTATCCCTGCTTGGTGCATTCCTCGTGCTATACCAGTATGTTAATTACACAGCATGGTCCTAAAGTCATGCATCAGTAACTTTTATTATCAGAATGGGAGGCCTCACATCAAAGCCAAGAGACAGGGAGTTAGAGACTGACAAAAACCAGATACTGGGAGTCAAGGCAGGCTGGAGACAAGGAGGAGGATTTTCACAGGGATTCAGTATCTAAGGATCACTCCTCCTGGTGTGTGATGTGCTGGCATTTAAACAATGGTGGGCCCCAAACCAAAATGGAGTCACATGTGCTAAGTTTTCCTTAACATCTGTATGTATATATCTTCTTACTATATGTTCCATTCTATGTATCCGATGAACTGGCTTGTAGCCCACGAAAGCTTATGCTCTAATAAATTTGTTAGTCTTTAAGGTGCCACAGTACTCCTGTTCTTTTTGCAGATACAGACTAACACAGCTGATACTCTAAACCACTTTTTCAATTATCCGTAAATTTAAAACAGCTTGTATCTTTAACCTCATACAGTTTTTAAAAATCTCCAATGACCTAAAACATATATATAAAGCCAAAAGGACCTTCAGTGGAAGTTTCTTGAGGTGAGCAAAACTGAGCGTAAAATGGAAAGCATTTTACAGTTTACTTTCCATTTTATGCTCTATTTTGCTCACCTATGGAGTCATTATTATAGCTCCATAATAACAGATATTGGAAACGTTGCTCCACTAAAATGAGAGGATTCCTCTGAAGAGAGAAAAATATTCAAACAAAAGTAAATCAACATTAATATAACAAAACATTTTCATTATGAAGTATCTCTAAATAATCATCTCTGGGTGAAATCCTAGCCCCATCAAAGTCAATGGGAAATCTGACATCCACTTCAATGAGGCCAGAATTTTACACCCTAGTTTTAAAAAAATGGAGTAAAGCCCAGAGTTTTCCTAAATCCAATCCTGGTGCAACCAGGTGCAGTTCCATTAACTTAAATCACTGTCCATCACTCCCCTGAAGAAGACCTCCACTGCACCCCTCCTCACAATATTGCCCACTGTACCTGCTACACAGAGGAAACACATCACCTGTATAGGGTATACACAATAGAACTGTTGTTAAACCCAATATACACCATACTGTCCTGAGATCTCTCTTTCAATTGAGTTAACTATACTTACTCCAGGACTGAATCTGGCCCCTTGTTTTAGTAGCTGTGGTTCCTTTAATAATCATGTGTTTAATAATACTTTTCAACAATTAGAAGGCACTACTTATTTTAAACAGTAAAAAAATCTTACCCAAAATGCATCATGAACATCAAAACAATCACTCAGTTCACTGTGTTTCCTACATCCATAACCACCAAAATATATTAATCTGGAAGAACAAAAAAAAAAAACTATTGAACTTCATTTGTTTTAAATTAATGTTCAATTTGATATTTTGAAAAGCTATTATATTTAATTAATCAGAAATTTCAATTATCTCTACTATTAATGTTTAAATGTGTAAACAAAAAAATATTACATACTGTATATAATTACTAAACAAACTTTGTGTTGCTACACACATAAACATGCCTGATACAAACCCACAAAACCAAGGAAATGAAGTTAAGATACATGCTTTACTCCTCCACATACACGTTTATCACACCTCAGCATTGCCAAAACTACTACACACCACAGAACAAGGCTTAACTCTGCCCCCGTTTCATACTTCTGCACACACATCTTTACCAGACTATATTTTCTTCACCAATAGTGGTTGTGAACATTTGGTGTTGTAGTTGGTTGTTTTGGGAGGTGGCAGTTTGATGATGATTTTGTACAGAAGGGAGGTTACAAGGTATGACGGAAGGCTCGCATCCCTATGAAAGCAGAATTACAGCAGCTCTCTAGATATTTCCCAGTATTGTGCAAGCTTCTAAGAAATACTCATCTTCAAATTCACATCTCCTGAGGACTGATGGCAAATTTTCAAAATGGAGCGTAGTTTGCCCCCAAATACGTACATTTAACAAAAATGTAGAGTTAGTTACATACTTCCACCAGAAATGGGTGGATCTTCATTCTGTACATAAATTAAACTTGACTCTGAATTAATTAATTCATGCTCTTGAACACCCTGGTATCGACAGCTAAAAAGAGATGCATGGCTGCATACATGTTTATACATCTTGCAGCTAATTCAGAGTTTCAAAACCAAAATGCAGTACTAAGTACTAAATGTGTTGGGTGGTTGTTGTTGTTTTTTTGTCACACCCTGGAGGACCTGGAGTCCAGAAATCAATAAATGAATTAAATGAATAAATTGTTTATTTTGTTCATTATATATCATGTAACTCTTATGTGTTTACAATAGCTTGTACAGCAAATAGCCCATATATACAATTGATTTATTTCTCAGTGACCAATTCTACCACCATAGCTACCTTTAATGGTTAATATAAAATCTAAAGACATTTTTTACATTTGTTTTTTAGTTTAATATGTTTAAATAATTTAAAGAACTTTTACAACCAATTTGGCTAAATATGCTAAGAAGCAGTTACAATACAAATACCTAGCTTGTATTCTCAACTTGGTTCTTTGTACCAGGGAGTTATCATTGAAATACCCTTTCTTATTGTCAATACTTTTGCTAACAAATATAATTTGAAATTATACCAAATCTAACAATGTTTTATAGCATAATCTATGTAATTTCATAAGCAATTAAAAATTCAGTAAATTAACTTTAATACCAGTTTAATAATCATCAACTAAATAAAAAGTAATATTTAGCACCTGAATAGTGTCTTGCACCCAAGGATCTCAAAGCACTTTAAAAAATAATTAAATCTCACAACATCTCCATAAATTAGGGTTGGTAAGTATGATTATTCCAATGTTACAGGTGGTAAAACTGAGAGACAGAGATGTTAAGAGATTTGTCCAAGGTCAGAGAGTAAATCACAGTCTGAATTGGAGTTCCAGTTTTGTGTTCTACCTATAACATAACACTTCTTCCCTTTGGTTAGTAGGTATTAAAAATACTCTTGATGTATATTACCTGTCCTTATACACCCAGCAGGAAAGCTTGTCACGTGGTGTAGGAGGTTGACCTTTAAAGTCTGTAATTTTTTTCCACCTATAGGTTCCATTTCTTGTTCGCAAATTAACATAATACAGCTTAAAAGAAAAATTATAATATTTTAGTATAAAATAAATTATTTTGAAGAATCAAGCACAAATCAGCAATAGATATGATTACAAAGAGCAAAAGAACAATCATTTTCTTATTAAAAAAAAAAGAAATCTGAGTGCAATTGACAAATTATAATTCTTATGATAGTAAGAGATTGGTTTACTCACTAATCACAAATAAAATGCAGGAAGAAGCAGCAAAATCTCCCCCTCTCCGCTTTGCTAATGCCCTTTGGCTGAAATCCTGGCCCTGCTGAAGTAAGAATTTTGCCATTGACTTCAATGGCACTACTATTTCACCTGTTAGTCTCAGTCTAATGCTCTCGCCACAGACAGATTACTATAAATGCAGCGTACACAGAACCTAACTAGGTGCAGAAGTGCTGCAGGTTAGTTAAACTATCAAACTCATTTCACTTGTTTTCTAATCTACACTGAAATTCTGGTTTCCATTACATTAATCCACTGAATACCCATTTTCCCCATTTCATTCCTTATTAGTATTTAATTACCTGCAATCAACAGGGAAACTAGCAGTCATATGTTAATGTTAACTAGTTATTATCGGACTTTCCTAGAAACGCAAATGCCACTTGCCCACTAAAGAGCAAAGAAAAAGCAACAAATGTGAGGTAAGTCTAATTATGGTTGCAAATATATTTTTCTCATAGAAATGCAATTAAATTTCGGAAATACTAGCAAACTTGAGAAATAAAAATAAAAAACAAAACATACTGGGCATTATCTTGCAGTCTTAACCCAGTCAAAACTCCCAATGCAGTCAACAGGAGATGTGCAGATGCAGAGGGACTAAAGAATCAGATCTACAATTTAAAGTATTTTAAAGTGCACCTTTTCTAAAATAAAACCAAAATCTCACCCTTAGATTTTTCCTGCTAGTTAAATGCAAGGTTAAATGCTTTGTTAAACAAAGTTCTGCATTAGTAGTCATTCAATTAAAATACACTCCAGAATTAAGATTACAATACCCGATTACTGTATCCTTTATCATCAAATCCTCCAAATATATACAGCTTCCCATTAATGCAAGCTCCACAACTTCCTGACATAGAGGTAGGTAGCTCTCCTTCCATTAGGTGCATTGTCCTGCCGTTTAGTAAATATATTAAAATTTCATAATTTTGCTCCCAAACAAACCAAAATACATCAAAAGCAAAGTAGTACTAGTAGGAGATATAACAGGATGGGGAACACACAGTTGCTCTGGGAGGAGGGCACATTAGTAGGCTGGTCAGCACTATCAGGTGTGCTCATTAAGGACAGAATCTTTGAGACTTTTTGTAGTTAGGCTCTAGCAAGTCTCTACTGAACATGTGCAAACTGCAGTTTTTCAAATACTTTAAATTGGCCAAAGCTGGGTGGATGTTCACAGGCATGGCAAAAGACACATCCCCCAAACAAAAGCCATACCCTTGCCAAATTTCAAGTCCCTGCACCAAAGCATGGAACATTTCAAAGATAAGGGCTCAATAACTTTTTAACTTGGGCAAAACAGCATATTTTCCCCTAGCCTCGTTCTTAAACAGCTCAACCCATTTTGGCTGAAATTTAAAATATTATATATATCGCAGACACCCAGCATGGAAATTTCAGCTCACATGGCTAAAGTTTGGCAAAATTATAAGCAACTAAAAACAGGGGTCTGATAATGGGAAGTATCGGCCGACTTTAATAATTGGCATTGCTACTAGACCCACCTCCCCAAAATGTGTAAATAAAATTTGAATAAATAAATTTAATTAAATAAATAAAACTTAAATATTATATTGCTAGTGATGTGTAAAATTTTAATCTGATTTAAACATTTAAAATATATTATCTATGCAAACATATTTCTGATATGATTAAGTAATAACAACAAAAAGGAAGTAACCCTAAATGGATCAAGCACCCTAATCTTGTTGTATTTAATATTCATTTTAACATAAAAGTTTATTTAGCCAGTATAAATACATAAGTGGCTCTTTACATTTAACAAGACTTAAAGACTTTAAGACTTTAAACTGTGTTTAAAAAGTTCACATTGGAAACATCCCTTTGAAAAAAATTACTGTGCTTACATAGGTATTTTCTTATCTGAAGACATTATTCCAAAATATATATCAGATATTAAATTTTACACTAAATGAATGCAGGCTATTTAAGTAGCCAAGAGACAAGAAACAGACCTCATTTATGTATCTGAAATAATAGTAATTTTACCATAGGTAAAAATACTCAGGTGTAAACAGCACATTTTTCAAATTCATTAAATATAAATAAAATGGCTTACCATAACCCACTATCAATTTCATAGAGCCAAAGCTCATCATTAGGCAAATACACTTCATTTTCTTCAATTGACTAAAAGAAAACAAATATGCAAAATATTTCATCAGTTATGTATCATATGTCATTACAATTCAAAAATCATGAAAATACATGTTAGGAACATTTCACAACTTTTAATGAGACAATTCACAAAGACTGCATAAAATTTTTATGCTCAATGTGTACTCCCTGATAATTTTATCTGGAAACGCTCAATAGTTCTAGTATTTTTATATTTAACATTGTAAGTTCAAAACAAGTTTTTATTTTTATTTTTGAAGCATTATAAAAAAATAAAGCATCTATGCAGAATGGTGTCCCTATGAAATAATTTTATTAGTTGCTGAATGCCAACCCTGCTCACTCACTTGCACATGGGTAGACTGGAAAAAAAAATGTTTGGCTTTGCAGTAAATGAGAGAGGGAGAGGAGTGGTTCCATATTCAACTAGCAATATCAGTTTAATGCACAGTGGCCATCTTGCAGGAAATGTAAAAAGCAGTAGCAACTCAGGAAAATTATTAAGTGCCATCAAGAAATATAGTAATTATGACTAAAAGCCACTACATTTTGCATTGTAGTTGCAATATGAAGCAAAACACAGCAAAACCAGTGCAAGAAACCACACTTAGGCAAGCTTCTTTTTTAAGAGACTACCCAAAAGTATCTCCAAAATAGAGAGCAGCTATCTGCTTTTATTAGAATACTACTGATTAGTAAGTGTAATTAAATAGCTGATCTTTCCTGGTCCCTTGAGTGGTTACTTTAACCAGTTTTCATTGTATTGTAATCCTTGCTACTCTAATACACCTATATAACGCTGAAGATGACCTCCAAAGGAATAAATAATTAATTAGGTTTGTACCCTTTTGCTTCTTTATGATATGGCCTCAAATACTTTTTTAAAGGGGTTTTTATGTTTTTATTTCTCCCCAATAGCAATTCAGGTCTCACCTGTGTTTTCTGGAAGTCTCTATGGAAGGCTAGACAACTGGTAAGATTACGATAGCAGTGAAATCATGAAGTGAAACCCTATTAATAGAGAGGGGCTGTGATTTATTTTAAGACTTCATTTTTTTAAACACCACTTTCACTCAAATACTTGAATAAAGAGTTGAAAGAAAACTACTTTTTTTTAAAATGGGATTCAATACCTTGGGCCCTTCAGTTGAGGACTCAGATCTCCCAATCAACATGTCTGTGTCCTCCAGTAATGACATATAGCAAATGAGAGGCCAAATTTTAAATAAACAAGCAAACCACAAAATAAAATAAAAAAAAAACACTTAAACTAAGGGCTTCTTTTTATATCATAAAATAAAGAAAGGCACAAGATCATTTTTTGTTTCGTTGAAAGCAATCTTTAATTGGGAGGATTTTCCAGGCATAATTGAGAAGGCCTGATGACATATATAAATGAAAGAGGTTGTGTGTGGTGGTAGGGGGAGAGTGGAAGAGTATAGGAAAAGAAGAAGGCAGAGATATAAGATCTTAAGCTATGGAATGCCATAAAGAAGAGGAGAAGCTTAAATTTAATGCCAGAGATAGAAAACCTGAGAAGGTTTTCAAATAGGGGAGAATGGTTGGGAAAGGAAAATTATTTTGGCAACAGTGGTTTGAATGAATGGAGGGAAGAGATATGAAGTCAGAGAGAAGGAGGTTGCAATATTAAAGTTGGTGATAATAATAATATGAATCAGTGTCTTTACAGTGTAGGCCAGGCTTGATATCAGTAACTGGACATGGGTGAGGCCTCGTTTCTTGGAAGACAGGATTAGGGAGATTAGCAGGCTGGAAACAGAATGTATGCACTAGCTAAAGTAAGGGGGAATCACCAAGGGAATAACTTGAAATGGACAAAATAAAATTGATAAGATAAGCATGGAACATAAGATGAGGTAGAGTAAGTCATGCATGGACAGTGCGTGGGCAGAGCATGCTGCATAGGGACTCGTTCCTACAAAGTGACCAAGACAATTCCAAAATGTCTGATGCAAAGTATAGTAAATGCAATGTAATGTGTAAATGTATATAAAGGAAGAGGTTTAGTGTGTAACTTTGGATATGTGGTATGCACTGTACCCATCCCCAGTGCTTAAGTCTGATCAACTCAAGAGTAGCTTTGCTGTATGCCAAATAAAGGAACCTGAGTGATGAGATTGGAATCAGACTGAGTTCTTGGGGAAACACCAAAAGGCAGTAGGAATTGAGAGCAAGGGAAAAAATATAGGAACGTAGCAGAGGAAGAAGCAGAGGGATCTAGAAAAAAGTCTGGATCAAATGGGAGAAGAGAGAGAGGAATCAAAGTTAACTCCAAGATAGTAAGTTCATGCTACAGTTGCTTATATGAACATCTTTACTTTAATTGATGCCTTATAACTATTCCCTTCCAAACTTGGGTAGTGTATTCTGGAAGTATAACTGCCACCGTTGGTTATCTACGGAACCAGACTTTTGAAAGCACCTGTTAGGTTCTGTTCTTAGATGTGCAGTTTGCAGCTTTCACGTTATACATAATATATAAGACCATGTGCAAATGGATTTGGGGGCTCCTGTGATGGGAAGCCAAGCATTTATTTTATGAACTAGCCCTGAATTAATATAATTGGTGTTAAGAATAAAAATGCTGATTTCACTGAATGCTGGTCAACTGCAAAGTGTCATGCTAGTATTAATAAAGCACTTTATATCTTTAAAGAACTGTTAAAATAGTGACCTAATCCTCAAAACACCCTTGCGAAGTAATATGGGAAAATTGATATACAGACAGAGGTCAAAGCTCACATTTTCAGGAGTGTTCACTAATTTTATGTGCCCAATTTGAGGCGGACTGGGGACCTGGGCCTTTGTGCGTGACTATTGGTGATGCTGAGAACCCCGCAGCTTTTCATGGGAAAACCCCTGAAAATCAGACACTAGTTGTCTCAAGTTGGTCTCCCAAAGTCAGTGAACAGAGAATTAGGGTACACAAAATTAGTAAACACTTCTGAAAATGTGTTTGTCCAAGGATATCCAGCCAGTCACTGGCAGACGCAGTATTAAAACTGAGGATTTTCCAGCTGTCTATTCTGTGCTTAGACCTATGGTAAAGAATTCTTAGGCATAAAACCAGTGGAATTTGGATATTTACTTAGGCTTGATTGTTTAGTAGGATATAAATGAAAATACAAAATACTGCTTGTGCTATTTGAAACATGTTACCACCTTGTACAGGCTTGGGACTAAGAGAAAGGGAGACTGTGGTCCTCCATATTTTGCCATCAATCTTCATTAAAACTTTCAGTGGAATGAACTGCATGCTTGTGTTTGTGTGGGGCATAGATGCCAGTGTTTGAAGGTGTGACACATGACTGGAAAGGGTTAAGCATCCTGCAAAATAAATAACTCAAATTCAACTCTTAAAGACATATGGGGAGATAATGTTTGTGTTTTTGCATATTTACCTATATATTGGTAGTGATCAATAATGTAATCGAACAGTCCCTGTCTATGCTGTATTCTGTTAATTCAGAGATCAAAAGGACATCTGAATATTTAAATGAACTGTAAACATAGGATATCGCCGTATTCATCTCTTAGAAATGTATGGCAAATCATCTGTGAATGGTGGAAAAACAGGCAATTGCCTTATGTTAATCTGTCTGGATAATTACCAGCGACGCTTAGGAAATGGGTCCACCTCAAAGTTCCCATGAGGGCCTATTGTTCACCAAAGGACTCCGAGCTGTCAAAGAAGGCCTGAAACTGTATAAAAAATTGCTTGGGTCCTGATCCTGTTTATCTCAGATCTGCTTGAGGCTTCATGCAAGGGAAGCCTAAACCATAAGGACTGAGATCCCACTCCTGACTGGACTGCCCTGAATATAAACATTGAACTATAACCTATGAACTATTTCTGAAAAAACTCTCTGCATTTACAAAGTTCACCATCTCTGCTATGAATTTGAATTTCAAGATTGTTCTCAAGTCTGTATGTATACTGATCTTTTAACCATACTATCTTATCTTTTTTTAATAAATTTTAGTTTAGTTAATAAGAATTGGCTGTAAGCGTGTATTTGGGTAAGATCTGAAATATTCATTAACCTGGGAGGTAACGTGTCCAATCCTTTGGGATTAGTAGAACTTTTTTATATGATGAATAAGATTTTCAGCAATCTTCATCATATTTGACTTGGGTATCTAGGGGAGGCCTGAGGCTGGGTTACTTTCAGGGAACTGTGTTGTTGGCTTCTGGATAACCAGTAGGGGATTATAGAATCTGTTTTGTGCTGGCTTGGTAAATCTAAGTGTTGGATATTTTTGGATGTTTTTTAAAGTTTAAAATATATTTATATCAGTTACAACACAGCATACGAAGTGTACAGTGCTCACTTTATAATTTTATTACAAATATTTGCATTGTAAAAAACAAAAGAAATAGTATTTTTCAATTCACTTAATACAAATACTGTAGTACAATCTCTTCATAATGAAAGTTGAACCTATAAATGTAGAATTATGTAAAAAAAAAACTGCATTCAAAAATAAAACAATGTAAAACTTTAGAGCCTACAAGTCCACTCAGTCCTACTTCTTGTTCAGCTCAGACACACAAGTTTGTTTACATTTGCAGGAGATAATGCTGCCTGCTTCTTGTTTACAATGTCACCTGAAAGTGAGAACAGTCATTGCATGGCATTGTTGTAGCCGGTGTCACAAGATATTTATGTGCCAGATGTGCTAAAGATTCTTATGTCCCTTCATGCGTCAACCACCATTTTGGAGGACATGTGTCCATGCTGATGACGAATTCTGCTCGATAACAATCCCAAGCAGTACGGACTGATGCATGTTCATTTTCATCATCTGAGTCAGATGCGACCAACAGAAGGTTGATTTTCTTTGTTGGTGGTTCAGGTTCTGTAGTTTCTGCATCAGTGTTGCTCTGTTAAGACTTCTGAAAGTATGCTCCACACCTCCCTCAGATTTTGGAAGGCACTTCAGATTCTTAAACCTTGGTTTGAGTGTTGTAGCTATCTTTAGAAAACTGA